TCAATATTTACATAATGTCATCATGCATCTTAAGGAGAAAACTATCTGAACTTTTCCAAAAAGGTAAAGCTTTTATCAAAGGAAGTGGAACTTACTGCCAGCCATAGTGGACCCTCTGAGCAGATCATGCTAGATTAATCCAGTTTTTTCCTGAGTTCAGTTACTAGTGCAAGAGGATGCAATGGATGTATATTTTTTATAATCTATTTTTTAATTTGAATTTATTTTTAAAGTAATCTCTATACCTAATTTGAGGCTCAAACTCAAAACCCTGAGATCAAGAGTTGCATATTCTACTAACTGAGCCAGCCAGACACCCCTATTACAGTCTAATTTTGATGAAAACAACCATATGGCATAGGTTGTAAAGTTCTAATCTCTACAAGCAATCATTTCAACTCTTTTAACAATGTCCTCTAGGGATCCCTGGGTGGCGCAGCGGTTTGGCGCCTGCCTTTGGCTCAGGGCGCGATCCTGGAGACCCGGGATCGAATCCCATATCGGGCTCCCGGTGCATGGAGCCTGCTTCTCCCTCTGCCTATGTCTCTGCCTCTCTCTCTCTCTCTCTCTATCTCTCTCTCTCTCTCTGTGACTATCATAAATAAATAAAAATTTAAAAAAAAATCTTCCATTTAAAAAAAAATGTCCTCTAGATATCTACCTCTTTTTTTCCTAAGTGTTATTAAATATTGTTTTTTATTTTTCTTGTATACACCATACCAATCACTACCCACATTCTCCCAATATACTTATTATACTTATTTAAACTATACGTTTTTCTACATTTATAGTCTTATGACTGTGAAAATATTGTTCACAACTGAGCTTTGAGAGCACTGTTGTTATATTTTCTTTCATGTACAACCCCATCTCCCTTCCCTCAGAATTAAGATCCCTGGGTGGCTTAGTGGTTTAGCACCTGCCTTCGGCCCAGGGCTTGATCCTAGAGTCCCGGGATCAAGTCCCACATTGGGCTCCCTGCATGGAACCTGCTTCTCCCTCTGCCTGTGTCTCTGCCTTTCTCTCTCCCTGTGTCTCTCATCAATAAATAAATAAAATCTTAAAAAAAAGGAAAGTTAAGAATTAATGCAAGATATGTAGATAACTAAGAAAATTCTTTACAAATCAAGTATCAGTAATTCTTAATTCTTTTTTTTTATTTATTCATGAGAGACAGAGAGAGAGAGAGAGAGAGAGAGAGGCAGAGACACAGGCAGAGGGAGAAGCAGGCTCCATGCAGGGAGCCCAATGTGGGACTTGATTCCGGGACTCCAGGATCACGCCCTGGGCCAAAGGTAAGTGCTAAACCGCTGAGCCACCCAGGGATCCTCATCTTCTCAAGTTTCCAACAGAATTGTAAGCTTTCTATCAATTTTCTTAGGCAGTCTTAGCATTTAGATTTTCCCTCTGTGGTATAGGTCTGCTTTCTCAGGTCTTGTCTGTTCTCTACTTCTGAATGTTGACATCTTGAGTCTGCTCTTTTCTCATTTCCTTTATTTGTCTTTTTGTTTTGTTTTGTTTTTGGTCATTTCAGTGGGGTTTTGGAGAGAAATAAAGATAAATGCGTCTCTTTTATCTGCCGTGTTAAGCCAGATACCTCAATGCATTATACCTTTTTATTCAACGAAGCATTTATATGACAGACTTTTGAGATATTCTAGAAACATATAGGAATATGAGCTAGCTGATGAGATAGTAAGTTAGATTAGTAGTTGTTTTAACTATCATCAACAAAGAGCATTAGTTAGCAGATTACTGCCATCACTAATGGTATATAAAGTCCAGAACAACAAAAGTAATAGTTAAGTTTTAGGCCTGTAAGGAACCTTGGCATTGGAAAGAGATTAGAGACTAAATGACTTGGTTAAGCTAAAATAAACTAGTTCGCCACAGAGTTGAAATCAGAGTCCAGATCTAGGACATCCCAAATAGATTAATTTTGTTTTTGTAAACTTACCACTTGTCATTTAAGTGTGTGGTTGAAATACCACATGATGATAAATTAAAAGGGCACTAGAATATCTCATTCCAAAAATGGTAGTCGTTGGCATTTAGTACAATTGCCTATTGTTAGGAAAAGAAATATAAAGTATAAAATGATAGCCAATAATCCTTTCTTTAAGTAACATTATTTAATTTTTATAGTGGACCATTCCCAACTTTAATCTATAGGAATTATCTGGGAGGTAAGAAGGGAAGGAAAGCATTGGCTAATTATTATTTTTTATTTATTTTTAATTTTGCAAAGCATGTATTTTCGAATTTAGAATAAAATCAAAGTGGAGGAGGATATTATAAACACTGTACCTTATTCTGCCCTGAGATTTTTATTTTAATAAGGTACATTGGGGGATGTGAGGCTAAAGATGTCAGCAGGCCTTTCTTGATGAGGTATGGGCCATGATGTAGATTATGGACTTTATCCTATTGATGGCAAAAAAACTGGGAAGGCATTACATGTCATCTTTTCCCCCACTGGAGAGCACAAATTAATAAGAACTTCTGATCTCATTCCCTCTTCCCACAAAAAATTGTAATTTTTCTTAAAAACTTGGAAGGTGGGATCCCTGGGTGGCGCAGCGGTTTGGCGCCTGCCTTTGGCCCAGGGCGCGATCCTGGAGACCCGGGATCGAATCCCACGTCGGGCTCCCGGTGCATGGAGCCTGCTTCTCCCTCTGCCTGTGTCTCTGCCTCTCTCTCTCACTGTGTGCCTATCATAAATAAATAATAAAAAAAAAAACTTGCGAGGTATTCAGTTTTTTATGTATATTTTTCTAAGATTTTATTTATTTATTTGAGAGAGCATGCATGTGAGGGGAGGGAGAGGGACAAGCAGACTCTGCTGAGCATGGAGCCCAACACAGGTGTGACCCCATGACCCCAAGATCATGACTTGAGCCAAAATCAAGAGTTGGATGCTTAACCAACTGAGCGAGCCATCCAGGCACCCCTGATTTTTTTTTTTTTTCTGTATTGTAAAAAAACACAGAACAAGCTTTATCTAGTGGTACTGGTATGTAAGGAATAATACTGGGGAGTTTCTCCAGTTTGGATGGTTTTGCTTCAACAATAAATGCTTTGTGATTTTAAGTAATTTTGTGTTTCTATGATTAAAGGGCTCTTCTAGGTAGTTTAGGCTAATGTTTGTGCCATGAAACTAAACGTTAACATGGCTTTTTGAGGTTGTATTGCTACTTTTTAATTTATCTTTATTTTGTAAGCTATTTCAGAGATTTCATTAAACTAAATAATAATTAGATGGTTTGGATTTGATCATCCAGAAAGTGCAACTCATGAAGCTAGCTTTGTATTGTTTTTGTTGGTTTGTTTTGGTAGAATTGTAACATCACAGAGAAGTAAAGCACGTCTTTGTTTTGTCATGTGTATATGTAATGTACATAAATTTTTTATACTCACAAATACATATATATGCAGTTAACATTAAACAAAGTTGGATATGCTTTGGGATTCTGCTTTTTTATTTACTAAATTGCTAATATGATTTTCATGATTACAAGTTTAATGGCTATATTCTTTTTCATCAAGTGGATTACCACAACTGTTACCATATAATTGGGCTTCTCATTACTTGTAGATTTTTATTATTATAAGTAAATAATACAATAAACATTTTCATAAAGATAATTATCAGAAATATAACATCATCCTCATAGCTTATTGGAGAAAATTAATTTTGTTTTATATATTTTGGGCAGGAAATTTATATATCAGTGATACAAGTGTAGTTTTCTACAAATACTCTAATATATCTATATTTTCAGAATATTTGATTATTTTTTCACAAAAATTTATATAGAGTATAAGTTAACATTAAGGTAAATTATAATTGTAAACTATATTTGCTGAAATTTTTAGCCATGCTACAGTAAAACTGCATATGGTATCATTTTTTGTAACAAGTTCTGGCTCTGTGGAACACCAAAGCTGATGACTAGCAAATAAACCAAAACAACAGTAAAAATTTTTAAATGTCTTAGCAGCCAAAATAGATATCTTAGGGACCTATGTACCCAAAAGTTTCTGTATTTTATTTATTTTTTATTTTTTTAAACATTTTATTTATTTATTCATGAGAGAGAGGGAGAGAGAGGCAGAAGGAGAAGCAGGCTCCATGCAGGGAGCCTAACGTGGGACTCGATCCTGGGTCTCCAGGATCACGCCCTGGGCCGAAAGCGGCACTAAACCGCTGGGCCACCAGGGTTGCCCAAGTTTCTGTATTTTAGAACTAAAGTCTTTTCCTTAAAGCCTCTGTCTTCATATTTTATATGGATTTATAACACACTTGCATTTTTCTTAGTCTCCCATATAAGAAACTCAGGAGAGGGTGTTGGTAAATCAAGAAGTAATCGCTAGCGGACAGATAGCAAGGGAGGGGACAGAGTATGCAAAGCAGAGCCGTCTAGGCAAAATAGTCTTATATACTCCATTAATCTTTAAGGGTGTCACTCAAGTGATGTAATATAATTATTATTCATCTTGACTAGAGTCATTTTTTAAAACTTTGGATATTCTTAAAGTTTTTAGGGGTCTGTGAGTGGCTCAGTTGGTTAAGTGTCTGACTCTTGATTTTGGCTCAGGTCATAATCTCATGGATTGTGAGATCAAGCCCTGTGTTGGGGTCTGTGCTCATTGAGGGGGTCTCTCTCTCCTTCCCTCTGCCCCTTTCTCCACTTGTGTGCTCTCTTTCTCTCTAAGATAAGTCAACCATAAAAATAATTTTATTTGATGTATAATTGGCATATAAATTAGTTTCAGGTGCACAACATAATAATTTGATAATTTGTATATACTATAGAATGGTCATTATAGTCCAGTTAGCATCTGTCATCATACATAGTTACCAATTGTTTTTCTTATGAGAGCTTGTGAGATTTACTTTCTGAAAAACTTATAAATATGTAATATAGCATTATTTATTGTAGTTACCATTCTACACATTACATCCCCATTGCTTGCTTATTTATAATTAGAAATTTGTAAAAGATATGGAACACTTCACAGATTTGCATGTCATCCTTGCACAGGGACCATTCTAATCTATGTATCATTTCAGTTCTGGTGTATGTGCTTCCAAAATGAGTGCTAGATACTTTTTATGAAGACTGAAACTTCAGAAACATTTTCATTGTAAGAGATTTTACTTTTTAGCTTTTATTGAAGGAGTGTCACTTATCTGGAAAATTCATTTATATAAAAGGTTTCCTAGTTAGAGTTTAAAAGATACTAATACTTTAAAGTATTTTATTGATTGATTGATTGATTGATTGGATGGGGGAGAGAGAGTGTAATCAGGGGATAGGTCAGAGGGAGAGGCAGAGAATCTCAAGCAGACTATGTGTTAAATGAGCCTGATGTGGGGCTGGATCTCATGACCTTGAGATCATGAACTGAAATCAAGAGTCAGACACTTAAGTGCCACCCAGGCATCCCACCCCCTAATACTTTTCTAATTATAAGACATAATATGCTTCTAGTAATGGGTCATGAGAGAAGAGGTCCAAATTTTTATTAAAAGTATTTATGTTTAATCTGAAAATGAAGTTAAGAAAACAGTTCTATTTACAATACTATCAGAAGAGAATAAATTTAACAAAATGAGTATAGAATTTATACTCTGAAAACTATAAAATGTTGAAAGAAAGAAGACCTAAATACATGGAAAGACATTGATATTCAAGATCAAACTTAATATTGTTAAAATGGTAATAATATTCCCCAAATTGATCTCTAGTTCAACACAGTCCCTGTCCTAAATGCAGTTGAGCATCTATCTGCCTTTGGCTCAGGGCATGATCCTGGATTCCCAGAATCGAGTCCCACATTGGGCTCCCTGTGTGGAGCCTGCTTCTCCCTCTCTATCTCTGCCTCTCTCTGTGTCTCTCATGAATAAATAAAATCTTAAAAAAAAAAAAAAAAAGGAATTCAAACTGCCTTCTTTGTAGAAATTGACAGGCTGATCCTGAAGTTTATATGGAGTTGCAAGGTATGCACAAGAGCCAAAACGGTACTGATAAACAAGAACAGGGCACCTGGTTGGCCCAGTCGTTTAAGCTTCTGCCTTTGGCTCAGGTGACAGTCCCAGGTCAACTACTGCATTGGGCTCCCTGCTGGGTGGAGAGTGCTTCTCCCTCTATCCCTCCCTGCTGCTTGTGCTCTCTCTCTCTTTCTTATGCTCTCTCTCATGCTTTCTCTCAAATAAATAAATAAAAATTTTAAAAACACACAAATTTCCATGACTTAGACTTTTTGATTTCAAAATTTTCTACAAAGCAGCAGTGATCTAATGCTAGTGGTAGTTACATTAGAATAGATTTAGAATGGATATAATAGATTAATGGAACAGAATTGAGAATCAGATATGAACTGGTCCATTGCTTTTTGAACAGCATGCCAAGACCATTCAAAGGGGAAAGTATAATTTTTTCACCAAATAGTGTGCTGAGACAACTGGATACTCAGATACAAAGGATTGAATTTGGGCCTGTACCTCATACCATACACAAATATTAATACACAATGGATCAAAGAACTAAATCCAGACTATAAAACTCATAGATGATAAAGCTAAATCTTCATGCCTTCAGATTTGACATTAGATTCCTAGATAAGACAACAAAAATATTAATAACAGACTGTTTTTACCTAACGATCAAGTTCAAATTATTGACAATCCATGGTTTTAGTTTTTCTAGAGTCAGTTGCTTTACCTTGAACTCCATTCATAGTTGTCTTTTTTCACTCAATTCTTTTGCTTTTCAAAGGACCAACTGGACTTTTCTTCCTGAATGAAATTTCTGACTAGTGCCATAACCTTCTCCTTGTCCCTGTGTCTTCATTTGGTCTTTTAATTTTCCACATTTGTATTGCAGAAGTCTTCAAATAGCAAGTAATCTACCTGTTTTGAAAGACTACTCCAAATCTGTTAAGGATTCATAATGAAATATTTATTAATTAAATATAATACCTGGGATTTGCTTCAAAATTATTTATTTTTTGAAATTGGGTGAGGTTACATGGGTAATCATTATATAACTTTAAAATTTTACAGAATACAAAAAAAATACTTAAGTATTTTTCTGCTGCATATCATGCTTTCTGAGGTGATTCAGATTTTTTTCTTACCACTTTGATGTGGACAGTTTTGCACATTTGCTTAATAAAGCATAGGCCTCTGTAAGTACTTCACAGACTTCTTGAAACAGTATATGGTTCTTTCTTTGACCCCATTTATAAATGATACTCCCACACCCTCTTTTACTCTACTGAGCGTCATTCCAAACTGAGCCACTAGAAACCCCTCATTTTTCTTACAGATTGATCATAATATTGTATTTAATAGTTTAGGAAAACTAAAAAAAAAGTAGTTCCACATATGAGTGAAATCATATGGCATTTGTCTCTTTCTGACTTATTCCACTTAGTGTAATAATTCTAGTTCCATCCATGTCATTACAAATGGCAAGAGTTCATTCTTTTTTATGGCTGAATAATATTCCATTATATATATCTGTATATACCACATCTTTCTCTATTCATCACTCAGTCCACACTTGGGCTCTTTACATAATTTGACTATTGTTGATAATGCTGCTATAAACATGAGGATACATGTATCTCTTTGAATTAGTATTTTTGTATTCTTTGGTTAAATACCTGGTAATGTGATTGCTGGATTATAGGATAGTTCTATTTTTAACTTTTTGAGGAACCTTCATACTGTTTTCCAGGGTGTCTGCACCAGCTTGCATTCCTACCAATAGTGCATGAGGGTTCCCCTTTCTCCATTCTTGCAACACCTGTTGTTTCCTGTGTTGTTGATTTTAGCCATTCTGACAGGTATGGAGTGATATCTCATTGTAGTTTTGATTTGTATTTCCCTGATGATGAGTAATGTGGAGCATCTTTTCATGTATCTGTTGGCCATATGGATGACTCCTTTGGAGAAATGTCTGTTCATTTTTTCTGCCCATTTTTCACTGGATTATTCATTTTTTGGATGTTGAGATTGATAATTTCCTTTTTTTTGTTATTTTTTAAAAATAATTTCCTTATAGATTTTGGGTACTGGGCAGCCCCGGTGGCGCAGCAGTTTAGCGCCGCCTGCAGCCCAGGGTGTGATCCTGGATCGAGTCCCATGTCAGGCTCTCTGCATGGTGCCTGCTTCTCTCTGCCTTTGTGTCTCTATGAATAAATAAAGTCTTTAAAAAAAAAAAAAGATTTTGGGTACTAACCCTTTATCAGATATGCCACTTGCAGATATCTTCTCCCATTCCATAAACTGCCTTATAGTTTTATTGATTGTTTCCTTCACTGTGCAGAAGCATTTTACTTTGATGAAACCCTAATAGTTTATTTTTGCTTTTGTTTCCCTTGCCTCTAGAGACATATCTAGAAAGAAGTTGCTATGGCTGAATTCAAAGAGGTCATTGCCTATAGCCTGTATTCTCCTCTAGGATTTTTATGATTTCAAGTCTCACATTTAGGCCTTTCATCCATTTTGAGTCCTTTTTTGTGTATGGTGTATGAAAGTGGTCCAGTTTCGTTCTTTTGCATGTTGGTGTCCAATTTTCCTAACACCATTTGTTAAAGAGACTGTGTTTTTGGCATTCGATATTCTTTCTGGCTTTGTCAAAGATTAAATTGACCACATAGTTATGGTTTCATTTCTGGAGTCTCTGTTTCTTTGATCTGTGTGTCTCTTTTTGTGTTAGTACTTTACTGTTTTGATTACTACAGCTTTGTAATATAATTTGAAGTCAAATTGTGATGCCTCCAGCTTTGCTTTTCTTTTTCAAGGTTGCTTTAGCTATTCGGGGTCTTTTGTGGTTCCATACAAATTTTAGGATTGTTTGTTCCTAAATGCTATTTAGGTATTGAAAATGCTATTGGTATTTTGATAGGGATTGCATTAAAGGTGTAGATTGCTTTGAGTAGTATAGACATTTTAATGGTATTTGTATGGGATGTTTTCCTTTTTCTTTGTGTCATCTTCAGTTTCTTTCATCTGTGTCTTATGGTTTTCAGAGTACAAGTCTTTCACCTCTTTGGTTAGGTTTATTCATAAGTATTTTGTTTTTGGTTGAATTCATGACCCTGAGATTAAGAGTCCCATGGTCCACCAATTGAGCTAGCCAGGTACCCCTGGAAGGTTTTTATTGATGGGTTTTATTTTTTTCACTATGACCTACACTAAAAAATAAATTATATTGTGATCCAATACATACATTGTATTAACATGTATGTATATCTGCAGCAAACATTTCATGAAATAATACCCTTGCTAAGTGTGTATTTTTTTATTTTAGGCCGTATTTCTTTAAAGGACATGTTGGTCAGGATCCTCTGTATTTATTTGTTTCACATTCCACGAATAGATCATGTCCTGCAGTTGAGAAAACATTTTAATATGGTCTAAAATAGTCATGTTTAAAATAAATAAATACAAATGTTTTTGCATATTAATAGTAAATGCTCTATACTGTATACTATGCTATACTATACTATAGTGTTAAGCAAGATGTAGTAAGTTTTTTTTATAATATACTAATGATTTGATAAGTAATCCCTTCAAAAATTCTAACACCAGGAGAAATTATTCTTGCTAACCATTTGGGAAATATTTCTGCACATTATACTAAAATACTAGTAGAATTAAGGTAGTAAAAATTAAAAAGATTTGTGGCTTTTTTCTTTAAAGTTGTAGTGCTGTTTTGTTATCTTCTTACCCCTAATCATACTGCCTGCTTAAAAAGATGTTCTCTGGGTAGTGAAGGCATTAGGCCAGCCTGTCCTCTTTGCCCTAAATAGACACGGTAACCAATCTGAGTTACGTAAAAGTGGTTTCTTGTTTTAAAACAAAATACCTCAAGTTCATTTGGCTGGATTATTTTCTTTTTACAGTTCTAGGTAGTAATTTATAAATGTACTACTTTCACTTTAGGGCAAGAAAATGTGACAGCTGGAGATCTAACTATACTGGGAACCTGAGGCTGTATGTTCCTTTATCAGTGTGACTCTGAGAACTGAGACCTGCTGGTTCTTTGAAATAATGCTGTGTCTGATGAAGCTTACGGTAAATGTTGT